TCCCGGGCGCCCGCCGCGCGGCCCGCCGACAGCCTGGACGCGCGCAGGGACAGCGCCTTCTCCGCCAGGACGCTGTCGGCACGCTCCGCCTCCGCCGGCCACGGGGACGGGCTCCCCGCCGGCCTGGCCCGGCCCTTCCTCAAGCGCCAGGAGAGCGTGTTCTGAGCCCGAGCCCGCACCTGGCCGAGCAGCCAGGCTGCAGGGAGGTCTCCGTCGCACTCCCTTCGCTGGACTCCCCCGTGGCCCACTGTGGTTCGAGTCCCGGATCTGCTGGCTTCAACTCACGCCGGGCGCGTGTGCGTGCGTGCCCAAGATCCCGAGAGGACAATGGAGGAGAGGGGGTTGCGGTGTGGCTGCCACCTGGGGGGTGACTGCTGACCTCCCGTCTCTCTGTCTCTGTCTCTCCAGAGAATGCACATGCCCTAAAGTGAAAACCTCTACCATAAAGAAAGGACACTGATGGAGACAGTGGGTTTCCGGGACACCATGACACGCCCGGGCGGCTCAGCCGTTCTGTGTAGACGCGGGCCAGTTTGTGGTGTCCCCATTCAGTCCCCCGATAACTGACCCCAGCAGCCACTGGAGACCCGGCCGGGACCTCTCATACCATTGCACACAGACAAAAGGGTCTGGGTCCCTGTCACCGACGGGCAATGTGCATTCAGGACACTTCCAGAAGACGTGGCCGGATGCATTTGTCCCCAAGGACACTGCGGCCTCCTGTTACCCCAGCAGCTGAGCACGGGGCTGCGTGACAGGCGTGGACACAGTTGGCCCGGGAGGGCCCCTGTGGCCTGGCCTCCGGTTCTGGCTCCCCACCCAGGACCGCAACTTTGCAGGCCAACTCCGAGGTCACCTTGCCATTAGCGTGTGTCCAGACCCTCGGGGTCATTTAATGAGCAGCTCCTGGCAGAGGAGTGGACGCACAGCCCCACAGGGGGACTGCATCTGGGCCCCAGGGGGGCCGGGGTCTTGGTCTCACCCACAGCAGTCGGGGACCCATGCTTGCCTGGGGCACACAGAGGACCCCATGCCTGAGCTGGGTCGGACCCAAAGAGCATTCGGGGACCCGGGAACACGGCTGAAGGGGCAGGGCTTCTGACACATGGCACATGTGGGCTGTCGGGTTGCAGGGTCCCAGGAGGGAGTCAGCCCAGGACCGCCGGGGGGCCCTGTCCACCCACAGTCCCCGTCTCCCCTTCTCGGGGGAGCGAGGATGAAACCGGGCTGCTGTCCATGCCGGGCTCTGCTCCACCTCCTGCTAGGACTGCCTGGACACAAAGCAGACCACGTTTGCAGGGGCCGGCAGGGGGCGTGGTGGCCACGGCGCTGGACTCCCACACGGCCAGCGGCGGTTCGTGTCTCGGACCTCATGGCTTTCATTCTCACTTGGTCTCACTAGTCAACTTTAAAAATAGTAATAAATAAAATCAATTTTTTTTTAATTTAAAAAAGGGAGAGGGGACACGGTGTCACCCAAACATTTGTGTCCACCTGGAACCTCAGAATACAGCCTTACTTGGGGTCATGATGGATCCAGTTAGGAAAGATGGGACCTTCCTGGAGTAGAGGGCCCTAAACGCTGGTCAGGGTCCCCGTGAGAGACAGAAGAGACACAGACACAGGAGGAGACATATGAAGACGGAGGCGGAGACGGGAGTGATGTGGCCACAAGCCAAGGGACGCCTGGAGACCTGGGAGCTGGGAGAGGAGGAAGGAGCCTCCCCTGGGGCCCCGGGAGCTGGGAGAGGAGGAAGGAGCTTACCCTGAGAGCTGGGAGAGGAGGAAGGAGCCTCCCCTGGG